AAAAAAAAAAAAAAAAAAAAAAAAAAGACCCTGGTGATCACATTAGTAGGCAACAGGGAGGAGGGTCAGAGCAAAAAGGAACATTACTTTCTTCCCCCGCTCAAGTCAGGTAAATAATAATAATAACACCTAACACTTCCTGAGCACCTAGTATATTCCAGGTATCGAAGCCTTTCATACCTTAACTCATTTAATTTTCTAGGCAAACCTAGACTTTATTCCTATCTTAACATGAAGAAGCAGTGACTCAGAAAGCATGATTCTTTACAGAGAGGATCTTCATAGGAAACTTAAAAGTCTTATTGACTACAAATGGGGAGGAAATATTATCCATGATTGAAAATGGTTTTATTTATTTTTTTTTTCAACGTTTATTTATTTTTGGGACAGAGAGAGACAGAGCATGAACAGGGGAGGGGCAGAGAGAGAGGGAGACACAGAATCGGAAACAGGCTCCAGGCTCTGAGCCATCAGCCCAGAGCCCGACGCGGGGCTCGAACTCACGGACCGTGAGATCGTGACCTGGCTGAAGTCGGACGCTTAACCGACTGCGCCACCCAGGCGCCCCTGAAAATGGTTTTAAATGAAAGGAAAAAGTTTTGAGGTTTCTCAAATGCTATCGATATACAAAGAAAATTTAAAATTCCATTTCCATTTGGAATGACCAATATTCCTCCTGCTATGTACTGAATTTATAAAACTACTCTAAGATTATAAAACCATTTTGCAAAGAACCAATAAAACCGAAGCTCTGGCTGTTCGTTAAGAACTTTTCCCGATATTGCACAAAGCATCCGTCTTGACTGTGCCCACACTGTCACCCTTTCACGTGTAAACAACAGTTTGAGAAGTCCGTATGTGAACAGGTTTAAGCAGTCCAGGTGGACCTTCGAACCTGCTCAGTAGCACCCAGTACTTATCAAAATGTATGCACAAACCCGGTGCAGACATAGCATTGATGTATACTAGCACGTGCAGATACACAAGCCTCACTTGAAGGGATGTGCTCAAAGGTCTTCTCTACCTACAATTCTGTTTCTTGATGAGGACGGAAAGAAGCTTGATTTGTCTTCAATGAGGAAGAGTTCCTGCCGATGTCTGGTGAATTGGGCAGTGAAATATTCAGGATGAGGGTGCTTCACATTCTTTGGGAGCTTCAGAGGCTCAAGCATACAGCTGAATGGGATATTCTCAGGCAGAGGAATATCACTCTCCTTAATAGGCATCTTGATTCCCAACACTTCAGCATAAGTAACTAGGACCTCCCAAGGGGCATGGATCTTGACAAAATACGTCTTTCCATCTTCAGAGTTCTGTAGAAAAAAGAAGGCAAAGATAACAGGAAGCATACCGATTTACTTGTTACCGAACTGAGTATTTACTTGTTACCGAACTGAGTAAAGACACAAAATTTTATGACAACTTGAACAAATCACAGATGTCACAGCACTTTCAATTTATTGAAACTTTTCAGCAAAATTTTCAGAGGAACAAATGCTCAAAACGTGTATCTGTATTATTACACTTACATATATGTATGTATGTATATGTATACATGGTGTGTGTGTGTGTGTGTGTGTGTGTGTGTGTGTGTGTGTGAGTGTGTGTGTGTGAGTGTGTGTGTGCGCATGTGTGTGATAGAGACAAAGAATATTTTTAACAATAAAATTCAGGGGGTGCCTGGATGGCTCAGTTGGTTAAGCGTCCGACTTCAGCTCCAGTCATGATCTCACAGTTCGTGAGTTCAGGCCCCACATTGGGATCTGTGCTGACAGTGTGGAGCCTGTTTTGGATTCTCTCTCTCCCTCTCTCTCTCTGCCCTTCCCCTGCTTGTGCACACTCTCTTGTTCTCCCTCCTGCTCTTTCTCAAAATAATAATAATAATAAGCTTAAAAAATTAAAAAAAAAACATTTTGAAGGAAATTCTAGAAAACCAATAGATGGCAAGACATTAAAAATAAATAAATAAAAGAATTTGCCATATTCATGAGCAAAGAAAGTTGTCTTGGCTTAAGTAGTGGGTATGCAGATGATGGCCAGGTTAACTAGTTAGAGTGCCAGATTATGGACAGCCTTCAAAATGAGAGATATGATTCTCAGGATCCACATAAGAGTGAAAACAGATGGTATCTGTCTTTCTCTGTATGGCTTATTTCACTTAGCATAACACTCTCCAGACCATGGGAGAGGGGAAGGGAAAAAAAAAAAAGTTAGAGAGGGAGGGAGCCAAACCTTAAGAGACTCTTAAAAAATGAGAATAAACTGAGGGTTGATGGGGGGGAGGGGTGGGAGGGAGGGGAAAGTGGGTGATGGGCATTGAGGAGGGCACCTGTTGGGATGCGCACTGGGTGTTGTATGGAAACCAATTTGACAATAAATTTCATATTAAAAAAAATGAGAGATAGGAAACAAGAACCATATCTTCACTTTCTTTGTATCCTGAATGGAATTATGTCTATTTTTTTCAGTGTCTGCTCATTGTCTTATATACATATCCTTGACCTACTTCTTTACCAGGAAGACCATATGCCCTACCATCCAGATAACAGTAGCCAAAAAAACTATTCTATTGCTCTCAAACACAAAGTCTATTTGGTCAAAGGCCGTAACAGAAGAAAACAATTGCTTAAAACACCAAGACTCTGGTACAAATTAACAGCTACACTTACCCTTTTGTCTTCAATTTCCAACTCAAGACCTGTTTTTCTGAGATTTTGTTCAAATTCTTTTCTCCTTTCCTAAGGGAAAAAAAAATTGGTAGAATTATACAGAACACTTTTATTTGCCCCGTGATAAACAGACTCGTTATTCCAGATGGTGCTCTGCCCCTCCCATGCTTGTATATAAAAGTCCTTTATACATTACCCCCATCTCAGCACCATGTCCTGCTTTTCGTCTGTACTAAAATTCACAATATAACTATAAAAATCCAAAATATTTAGGAATAATTTCCAGGAAATGTGCAGGACTGCTATTTGAAAGTATGTATAGAACTTTACTAAATAACAGTTTAAAAAACTAGATAAGTAGAGAGACCTGTCATGCCCTTGGTCGGGAGGACTCAGTATTAGAAACACATGAACACTCTTAAAAAGAAAGGATATATTTAATTCAAATTTAAGCCAAAATATCATTGTGAGTTTTTAATTTGATTTTATCTTTTGAGAGAGAGAGAGAGAAGAGAGAGAGAGTGTGTGTGAGCAGGGGAAAGGGGCAGAGGAAGAAAGAGAGAGAGAGAGAGAGAGAGAGAGAGAGAGAGAGAGAGAGAGAGAATCCCAAGCAGACCCCATGCTCAGCGTGGAGTCCGACACAGGGCTTGATCTCACAACTATTGAGATCATGACCTGAGCCGAAATCAAGAGTAGGCCGCTCAACCGTCTAAGCCACCCACATGCCCCTCATTATAACTTTCTAATGCTGAAGAAAAGAATAGCTTCACTTAGAAAAAAAAAAAAATTAATTAATTTAATTAAATTAGATTAAGTTAAAACAATCATTACTTGTGGGCTTTAAAAGAATGCATTGATTGTTGAAATTTTTTTTTTTGGCTTTCATTATTACCTAAGTCTGAAGAATTTTATAGTAAATGAAATTTTAAAATATGTTATTATGGTATTATAGAATGCCTATCTTCAAATGGATAGGTCTACCTTGATATATCTTAAAGTTTATAAGAAAGAGTAAAAGATAATTTAAGGTGTTTTTCCCCTACTTGCAAAGTTTGCCACATATGAGCACAGGCCTATGACAGTGGTACAGAATTTCCTTTCATAATTGCCCTTCTTTCACATTACTAGAGGGAGGTAGACTGCAAACTTCCAGAAAACCAAAAAAAAAAAAAAAAAAAAAGGACTTAGGCATTCAAATTACTGTTATCTCTTATCAGAACTGAGAAAGTGAACCACTCTTTTCATTATAGTAACAAATGCTTTTGCAAGTAACATGACTGCCAAAACTGAAGAGCTAACAGGATTACTAGGTGATGGGTCATTAAACACTACTTTTATGATACATCACTGTAATTTGGGGATATAACTCAGGTGTCTAAAAAAGATTAAAACTGCATAAACGATAATCTTTCTATTCCAATCTACTCATTTATCTGAACAAGCTTAATTGACACAGCCATAAAAAAACAAGAGAGGGGTATAGTTGAACCTGAACCACATCATTCTAGGAAAAACTCTAATTCATTCAAAAATATTTTTGCAGTTATCAATAATGACAAGTTCTAGGGAAGTGAATGGCTGAGCAAGAAACTAAGATAAATGGAAAGGGGAGTTCAAGGAAGAGAGCCAGGATGCTAGAATAGTCACTGGGGCGCCTGGGTGGCTCAGTCAGGTAAGAGTCTGACTTCGGCTCAGGTCATGAACTTGCTTTTGTGAGTTCAAGCCCCACGTCGGCTCTGTGCTGACAGCTCAGAACCTGGAAAGTGCTTCAGAATCTGCATCTCCCTCTCTCTCTGCTCCTCCCCTTCTCGTGCTCTGTCTCTCTCTCTCTCTCTCTCTCTCTCTCTCTCAAAAATAAACACAGATTTTAAAAAAATTTTGTAAATAAAATAGTCATCGATGTATGAATTTCAATAATCAATAATTTAAGGAGTATTGGTGAAGAGAATGATAATGAACCAAGGGCTCAAACTGTTGAGAAATGAAAGGAAGACCCAGGGACACATTAATGACAGCAGTAAGGCAGGGCAATAATTAATGTGAGAAGAATAAAAGCTCAGGAATTTTAGGGATGAGGTAGGGAGAGCTGCCTGTAATCAACAATGAGATATAAGGAGGGCGGAGCAGGCATTTGCCCATCTCCAGAAAAAGGCAACCATCACCTGAGAGGACACTTGGAGAATGCAGGGAACTCAGTGAAGAGCCCAGTTACAGGCGGACATGCAGAGAAAAAGAAAATGATGACAAATGAGTGAATTTCAGGGGCTTGATGGAAGGGTTTCCAGGGAAAGTGTGGAAGAAAGGGACAGGGTCTTATGGGGATAATATCCGTTGTTCTTTTATGTTTATTTTATATGACATTTATTTCCTAGGTAAGGATGTTAGTAAATGTGTGTGTACACACTTACACATATGGATTAATGTATTAATTCATTATTTCAAATATAATTATTTCTTGAGCATCCACTATGCTGCAACCACACTGTTTTAGGCATTTGGGTACACAGCAGTGAACAGGACAAAGTCCTTGGTCTCATGAACTTAATTTAGGGTGTTGGACACACAGCAAACAAGTTAAACAACATATACACAAGTTCAGAAAGTGATGGGTTATAATGAAAAGAAAACAGGATAAGGAATAGAGCACAATGTGGAGGACATTTCAGATGGCCTGGATTAGCCATACATTTTCAAAGTGAAAATAAATATTATATTCAGACACACACCTCAAATTTTGGAGGTCACGTTTAATATTGTGGAGCTATGTAAACAATATACATACTCCCAGTCACTCGGGAGAAGAAAAAGAAGGTGATGTTCAAGATGTCCAAAAAAAAAAAAAACCCCAAAAAACAAATTGACTTTACACATCCAATCCAATCCAATCCATTATTAGGCCTGTTTTCTAATCTCCCTCAGTCTTAGCTTTCAATAACACTTCAGAGGCCTCTGACCTCTACAGCTTAATTCAATGGGAACAACCCTGATGAGCTACAGGAAGTGTTTCTTTTAAGGATTCCCAGTTTCTCTTCCCTCAAGTACTTACCGCCTTGGGGTCTGCTTCTTTCTTTAAATCATCAACATAGGAGAGCACAAAATCAATTTGCCTAATCCCATCTCGGAAGAAGATAGAATCTTTGCTTTGTTCATCTTTTTTAAACTGTAGGAGACAGAAATGACACAACTTTCCAGTTGTTATTTTCAAATGGCAAAAACATGAAATGAATTAGCTGACATTTGGTCTAATTTGTTTCAATCCTGAATTGGCGGGTAAAGACAAATAGCCAGAGTTTTCACCAACAGAAGATTATGCTCATTTTGGAAAGTGAACTTCCATAGGGAAGATATATACATATACCAGGAAGGCTCAAGATGAAGGTAAGCATTTAACTACATGCACACACAACAAAAATGGTGCAATTATACCAATGTATAAAATGAACACATGGATACATGGATCCCAAAATGCATATTTTGTTATATGCATAGAGACTTGTTAGCTTCATTAAATAACATGCCAATGAGTCGGACAAATAATTCATGTTCACACACTGCTTTGGGGTGGAATTAATTACCGACCAATTAATGAATCTCATTCTAAGAAAATTAACTTATGACTAATGCTTCTCTGTTTTCATAAAATTGCCACTTTCTAATTCAACTTCTGAAGGGTTAAAGTAAAATCAAAGTGCAGTTAAAAATCAGAAAGCAGATAGCTTGCCAGCTGGGTTTACTGCACGTAAATGCTCATGCAGATCTCCTTTCAATTCTGATCCCTACGTGAGCCCGAGTCCATCTTTGGTTAAAATCGGATGTTATCAATTCTCTCAGTGGAATAGTCAAACTGACAAATTCAGCATTCACATGTTGTATATTTCATTAATTCCTTTCCTTTCAGAACTACAAAAACACTAGAGAGCTTTAGAAGAAGAGATTTCACGTTTGACTGATGTGGCCTTCCTCAGAGTTTATAAGTAATGTGTAATACGTAATACTTCAAATAGCCCAGATATATCTAATACTTAGACTGACGCAAACAAATGATGTAGTGGATGTTAGTGATCTCTCTAACCCTGTGACGCAGTTATAACTTAACACTGGCAACTTTCCAATTGCTTCCACTAACCTGTGAATGGAGAACGGGATGTTTTGTTTTTGTAACTGCTATTTGTGTTAGTTTATGAGTTTCTGTTATGGTATTCTATGCTGTTTTTCACCCAACTCAAGCCAGGGAGACTTCCCCTAAAAAAGAATGGATGTACAACAGTCATGTATAATAAGACAAAAATCTCATGTTTGAAGTGTGTTCTATGAAAAATAGAACTGTATTTTATCTATGTGAAGGCATAGCTGATATGTTTCAGGAAGAAGTAGCTCCTAATGCACAGAAAGAAACGAGTGGGAAAATGAGCAAAAAAAAAAACACATCCAGGGAGTCTAGACAGTAAATATAGAAAATAGTAATTCAAATACTATGTCTGAGTTCTCTGCATCTAACCAAAAGATGCATAATCATCTCCTTTTGCCTAAAACAAAGTAAAAGAACCTGAGAAAACTCAAACTATTTTCCTGTTACCCCTTGATTTACAACTCACTACAAAAAGAAAAAGGAAACAAAATTAAAAAAAAGTCATTTGAGCTCTTGTAAATCATCATAATATTAACATAGTTTGTGAAATTCACCAAAACTCATGGACTTGGGGCAGGAAATAAAAGACTAATTAGACTAAATATAATCAAAGCAAAAAATTAGAGGTAAAAATCCTAATAATCCCTTTGCTCTCAAAGCAAAATCTGTGACAGCCAAAATTTGCATGGTTTTTTAAGTAGGCTCACAGCCCAGAGATCAAGGGTTGCATGTTCCATCCACTGTGGCATCCAGGTGCCCCTGGGAGAGATTATTTTTAAAACAATATACATTTACAAGTGTTTTTATTGTTTGGGCAAACTAAATCTAAGTCCACAAAGAGAAGTTCTGATGACAGAAGTCATGCACATTGAAGTCAACAAAAAAATCACACGCAGAGTATTTGACTCTTAGTAAACAAAGTAACCCCCAAAACAATTAGTTTTCTCAGTGTTCAGTCAAAATGGGTATATATACTTCTGAAAGCCAGATGCTACCTAGGAAAACCCAAACTTCTCTCATTATGCTGTGTCCTAATATAAAGAGTAAATTGCTTAAAAATATGGAGAAATCGGCTTGCCTGGGTGGCTCAGTCGGTTAAGTATCAACTTCAGCTCAGGTCATGATCTCATGGTTCATGAGTTTGAGCCCCACATCAGGCTCTCTGCTGTCAGCTCAGAGCCCACTTCCTAAATTCTTTCCCCCACCCTCTCCGCCCCTACCCTGCTCTCTCTCCCTCTCAAAAATAAACAAACATTTTAAATCAGATGGAGAAATCACTGGCAACCTTGTAGATCACCATGACGTACCTGTCTTAGTACTGTTAACAAAAAACTGATTGAAGCAAATGAGGGGAGAAAAACTTGATAACTCTGTTACATATAACTGAAGGCTATTAAAAAACATCATTCTTTTGTTTTGCTCAAGGCATGACATAAAGATAACATTTTGCCATGTGTGTATGTGTCTGTGTTTATATTTGATTTGCTCTTAGAAATTCCAGTGTATAATGGGTGAACATCTGGGTGGATTTTCTTTGAATGAGGTAAGTTATTCTGAGGTTCCTAGTCCAGGATTCCCACTAGGAGTTCATAAATTCTAAAACTGTAGGTAAATTGTCTGTATATGTGTGTATATGTATATAATATATATGTGTGTTTATATGCAAATATAAAAAATATATTATATATCAAATATATACATTACATATATGTAATATATATCTATACACAGCAAATATATATAATATATATAAATTATATGTATATAGATAGACACACGTATACATTTTTTAGAAAGAGCATCTACAGCTTTAATCAGATCCAAACAGAATTAAGAATCACCATTCTAAAATCTCAATTGCCTGAGACTGGGAATCAGTGACAAAGTCCCCACAAATCAATAGTATACACTGGAATAAAAAGGACTGGGGCTACTACTGCAGCCATCCAAAGCGTAAGCAGCAGCATTCAGCGCTTTTTTACCAAAAGACGTCGCTTCAGGAACAAATTGTATCGCTTTGCAGACTGTGAAACAATCAACAGAAAGTTAGCAAATCCTGCCAGAGTAAAGAAAAGATTTCCAAAAAACAGACACACAAAGACACAAATCTTCAGTATGATTACTCAGGGGTGTGTGTGTGTGTGTGTGTGTGTGTGTGTGTGATATTTACAGATGCAGGGTGGGAGAAGCTGGCAAGAAGGAAAGAAGAACGAATATAGGAAGAAAACAATGAAGAATAAAGGAAAGGGGAATAAAAGAGACAGCAAAGTAAATTTCCCTAAGTTCTTTATACCATAACGTTAAGTGGAACTGAATTAAGGAAGAAAGGAGAGAGAAAAAAAATAATGAAGGAAAACATGAGAAAAAGGGAAATGTAAAGTAAAATATGTAATCAGTTAAGTATGCCCATATACATCAGGAGAAGAAAATTACTACTAAAATTACTACAATTATACTGTATGGTATAGAAGGTTCACCTAATAGCAGACAATATTTCACAGCCTCCCAAAATACTGGGGGAAGGAAAGGGGAGCTCATTCAGTTAAATGCTAAGCTGTCTTCAATCTTCAGTTACGGTGACCATTATTTTTAAGACACCCAAGGCAAGTACCGAAAAACATCTGGGAAAATCAATAATATTTGAAAGAAAACCAAATAATGCCACAAAAAGGCAAGTACTGTGTGTATTTTATACTATAATGAAATGATAAATAACCTAATAAAATTATCAATTAAAAGTTTTAGTTCCTGGGGCGCCTGGGTGGCGCAGTCGGTTAAGCGTCCGACTTCAGCCAGGTCACGATCTCGCGGTCCGTGAGTTCGAGCCCCGCGTCAGGCTCTGGGCTGATGGCTCAGAGCCTGGAGCCTGTTTCCAATTCTGTGTCTCCCTCTCTCTCTGCCCCTCCCCCGTTCATGCTCTGTCTCTCTCTGTCCCAAAAATAAATAAACGTTGAAAAAAAAAAAAGTTTTAGTTCCTGTCATGGAAAGTTTTGCTGAACCTGTTGTTTTCATAAAATAAGCTAGAGCCCTAAGCAGTGGTGACTACTGGATGAAAAATCCCTGCTCCATAACCTGAGAACCTACTCTGCATAGACGAGTTAATACTGCTGTTGCTTAGAGCAAACAGACACAAGATGGATGTTGGTCACTGCATAAAGTGTATTTTACACCGTATTTTTCTCCTGGGCTGAAATTTTTCATCTTAGCACTTTGATTTTCTTGGAATCTTTCATGAGGTCCACAAGTTACTGTTATTCTCAGATGTTTTTCCTCAGTTCATTACAGAATCATGAAGGGAAAGGAAAGAGTTATACACTAAGGGGCCAAGAAGGTCCACATTATGACTTTCATGGGTTCTGTCTGGCCTATTTGCTTTCTGTGTGCTCCTTTCTCCATTAAATTGTTTTTATCAATTTAAAAAGAAATAAATGAATATATATATTCATACACACACACACGATTATACTTATGGGGTGATTTTTTTTTGTTTCTTTAATTTTGATTTTAAAAGAAATTAAAATTAAAACATTTCCATGGGCTTCAAAAAGTATCCTGGGTCCTAGAAGGCACTGTGCTTACTGTGCCTAAAGAATAAGTTGGCCATAGGGTCATGAATTAACTAGATACCATATATTCAAGAGCTATTAAGAGTGCAGGGTTAAAAAGTTACTTAGATGAGTGCTAAAAAGCCTTCTGTAATCAATACATCTAATATCAAGTTAGTTTGCAGCTTTCCAAAATCATATGATATCTTCATGATATAAAAGCCAATGGGATCAGGGTGCCTGGGTGGCTCAGTTGGTTAAGTGTCTGACTCTTGGTTTCAGCTCAGGTCATGATTTCCCAGTTTGTGAGTCCGAGCCCTGCGTTGGGCTCTGCGCTGACAATATGCAGAACTGATCGTCTCTCTCTTCTCTGTCCCTCCCCCTCCTCGATAAATAAACTTTAAAAAAATATTTGAAAAACAAAAAAAACAATGGGATCAATACCAGCAGCTGGTTGTGAAACATACTGACTCAATATTTAATATTTTTTAAACTTGATTTTAAATATGTTAAAAGATCAATAAACCACCAAAGGATTGATTACAAAAAGATAAAATTAACATTCTACCGACTAAAATTATAGAATAGCTTTATTAAATATTTCCATCATGTGCTAAATTGTTTGCTTTTTATTAAAATATGGATAACACCCGGGGTGCCTGGGTGGCTCAGTCAGTTAAGCAGCCAACTCAGTTTTAGCTCAGGTCATGATCTCACAGTTCATGAGTTCAAGCCCCACATTGGGTTCGGTACTAATTGTGCAGAGGCTGCTTGGGATTCTCTCTCTCACTGTCTTTGCCCCTTCTTGCACTCTCTCTCTCTCTCAAAATAAATTTAAAAAAAATAACATAAATAAATAAATAAATAAATAAATAAATAAACAAACAAACATAAATACAATGTGGGCAACGCTGAAAGTAATGAATAGGTATTTTTATAATCATTGCTATTTCCTTGTAATCTTAGTAACTATTTGGTGTATTTATTTCTGGTTTTCTCTAAGCACTGACTGAATTTTTTAGTATAGTAAATCATTAATTTTAATATACATTTTCTTGCCTTTTTCATAATACTACAATATTAAAATAAATTTTCATATATTATAAACTTTTTGTAAAAATAGTTTTCTCCATGTAATTTCAATTCATTAAATGTAAACTAATTTTGGGGCACCTGGGTGGTTCAGTCAGTTGAGCATCCGACTTCGGCTCAGGTCATGATCTCACGGTCTGTGGGTTCGAGCCCCGTGTCAGGCTCTGCGTTGACAGCTCAGAGCCTGGAGCCTGCTTCAGATTCTGTGTCTCCCTCTCTCTCTGCCCCTCCCCCGCTCATACTCTGTCTCTCTCTGTCAAAACTAAATAAACATTAAAAATTTTTTTAAATTATTTGTAAGAAGACACTTTAGAGTCCTTTCTCTAGGAAGAGAGTTGATCACCTATATTATTATGCCACATAGTAGGGGGTGTCAATAGCATCTTCCTCTCATTATACATAATTTGTATCACACATCTGTAGTCCTCTTGATATATTTCTTTCTTCTCGTACTCCTCCTTTGAATACCATCAACAGACCAGCCACGGACCAATATGCACACTACTTAGTGTGCTAGAGAGGGCAGCACTTCTGAGATTGCTGGTTCCAGCTCCCGTCTCAGCTACTAGATCATTGGTGAGACAGCAGGGTGGGGTGGGGGGGAATCCAATATCATAGACATTTCTAGAATATATATTGTAAGAGAATGAAAATCAATATAATTCATGGAGTTGTAATACCACAAGCCATTCAATGCTGTGAATTTCTAAGCAAGAAAAAGTCCAGTTGCTCGAGACTTCGATTTCACATTAAAAACTACATTAACCCTCGATGTTAAGGATGTAGATACTCAATCTACAAACTGTAAAACTTACTTACTGAGTGGACCCTACAGAAGTCCTAAATTTAAACAGAACCACAGCAATTAAACAGTAGCTAGCATATCTTGATTTCTTTGTGCCAAATACTGTGTACTCATATCTTTAATGTTATCAGGTAGATCCTGTTAATTATCAGCAAAAGGTACTAAAGACATACAACTGGCTAAGTACACAAAAGGCTGGCTAGTAAGTGCTGTGCAACCTTGAAGCCAGCAACCATAAAATAATAAAAGGAATAAAAGTCAACTACCAGCAATTTCTTAAGACACTGGTAAAATACTCCTTCTTGAAAAATGTTTGTCTCAATCTTCAATGAATGTTGAGCTTCTATTGCATTTTAATGTTCTAGATGTAGGTTTCAATTTAGTAAATGGAAGTTAATTTGGAAAATCCCCAGTTATACGTAACCACATCTGGATAAGATTGCTTGGAGTGCGTTTCATATTCCCAGCCTCTGTGGTCTACATATTCCTATGTTTAAACTATAGCTTCAAAATAAACAAAAACAGCCATGTAAAACTTTCCTATTTTTCTAGTTTAAAGTAGCAGATGGATTAATCAGACACAGAAATATTTGTAAATACCTGCAGTGGACCTTAAAGATGTACAGTGAAACACCAAGCTTTAAGACTGTTCCTTGAAGACCAGGCACATAGAAATCACAGAGAAACAACTAGTTATGCAGCAAAAAATTTAAGGAAATGGATATTTGCACATAGAAAGAGAATCCAATTTATGAGAACACTAGGAAAAACGACAAAAGATGACAGTCTTACATGGCCAGGAAAAAATCAAAATTTCAATGTCTGAATTTCTCAGTCAGTTTCACCAAGGAGTAGACACTCCCTTCTACAGTAATGGGATAAATAATGTCACTGTTCACTCTCATTTAGTCATTTTCTTTGTTTTTAGTTTTGCTTTTAGTTTTGGGGGGTTTTTCTGAGAAAAACTTTGGAAGTTTTTACCAAACATAATAGAATTTAAAATATGTTAAGATATTTTTAAGTAAATGAAAAGTAAAGTCACAGACTGGGAGAAAATATTTGCAATGAAAACAGCTGACAAGGGTCTCACATTCAGACCTTGACTTTTAAAAATACACAAAGATTTGAACAGATAGTTTACAGAAGAAGATATATGAATGGCCAACAAGCCCAAGAAAGGATGTGTAACGTCATCATTTATCAGGGAAATGAGAATTGAAATCACAAGATACCACTACCTTCCATTAGATTACTAAATTTGAGGGTGGAGAGGGTTCCAGTGAGGGTAGAGAGAAGTAGAACTCTCATACATTACTGGTAGGAAAGAAAAATGGTAGAACCACTCTCCAAAATAGTTCAGCCGTCTCATATAAGGTTATACATACGCTTTCATATGATCCAGAAATTTTACTCTTAGCAAATTAACCAAGATTAATTAAAATATACATCTATTCAAACTATATTATGTCTTACATGTATGTTCATAACAGCTTTACTTATAATTGTCCCCAATCAGAGAACAACATAAATATCCATCAACAGGTGAATCGATAAACAAATTTTGGCATATCCATACATTGGAATACTATTTAGCAATAAAACAAAATAAATCAAAGAAAAAAACTATAGATATGTTCAACAAGATTCAATATATCAGTATCATTTAAGCTCTGGATGCATCTCAGCAACATTATGCTAAACAAAAGAAGCCAGACACAAAATAGCCTATAGTCTGATTCCATTCACATACTACTTTAGAAACAAATAAAAAACAAATCATTGGTTGCCCAGAACAGAGGTGAAACAGCAGGTAATAGAAATCTGTATCTTGACTGTTATGGTTTGTTAAAACTCACCAAACCATACACTTAAAATAGTGCGTTTCATTGTATGTAATGTATAAATATTTAAGATAATAATTTTTTAAAAAGTGTTTGGCTTGAACAACTAGAAGGTTGGACTGTGTGGAGCTGGAATATGAAACACTTCACCAGGGAGATTTTTTTTATGAGAAAGAAAAAAATTACATTTCAGACACAGTAATCTTGAAACATCTTTTGATATCCAAGTGCATATGACGGGAAAGCACTTGGATATTTCAGTCTTAACTTCAGGAGAGATGTCTATTGAGAAACTTAAATTTGAGAGTTTACAGTGTATCAATGGTATTTAAAGCCAGGATAGCAAATTAAATGTCTGAGCCCTGGAGTAACCATATCTAAATATATACATTGACTAATTATAAATATTATGCCATATTTATACTGACTGGTTCTGGTCCATTTATTCAAAGGTAGCTTCTGTGCCATGTAAGTTGACGCCTTCAGACGTCAGAAGACGTCTGGTCAGAAGACCCAGACGCCTTCAGAACCTGTGAATGGCATGTATACTATTTCTAAAGCATGTCCCTAGTGTGACTTTCTAATTCCATCCATCCCTCATTAAACTCTGAATACTTATTAAATTATACCCCCAAGCACAGATGGTATTTGCTTTGGGACAAGTTTTATTAGGTATGGCTTTTCCAATTTTTCTGAATTTCTGAATTTTCCTATTTAATGGCTTTAGGGTCCTTCTAGTATCTTCTAGCAATTCAGCTAGCCTCTTAGCTAGCCACTCAACCAAATCCACTGTTGACCACTTTATTTCAAGTAAAATGTAAAATTATGTTAATTCTTCTATATTTATAGAATCATTAATAGTGTAAAAGAAAACATGTACTCTGCTGGATATTTTTGGTTCATCCCAGCAGATGCTGTCTTTAGCTCTCTACCTGGCTTTTTCTTGTGAGGATGGCCGGTATAGATATGAAAGAGCTCCCCAGACCTCTAGTTTCCCAAATATGATTAGAGAGAAGGAAGAGAGTGAGTGACTTCCTTCTGGAGGCCAGATTCAGGAAGGCTGTATCCCTCCACTGAAGGTCATTGAGCCTCTCAAGGTCTTCAGTACATGATGCTCTCTTTCTATTCCCTCAGTTCTATAGATGACAACAGACTCATGGTTACTAGATGTATACGTAGCAGGATTCTTCAGCACCCCATATTTATAAGTTTTTCATTAAGCTCTCCCCAAACTATCCTACTCTGAAAATGGCCACTAGGACCCTGATTGAAACAAATTGTTCTTTTGTGACATATCTGTGACATGAAAAGAAAAATTTCCCTGGAGAAATAGTTGATTCCAGGACTGATGCAGGGAAAGTATAAAATGAGCTGAGAGCACCTTGCAGTGCTAAAATAAAAAGTTTATTTAAGGAAGAAGCTTACTGTTTAATTTTAACAACTTCTTGCTTAACCAAAGACAATGTCATCATAAAAAAAGAAATATCATAAATCACTTTAAAATCATTTGGAATCTCAAATTTTAATTACTAGCATATGACATAACTGGGAAAGTATTTGCAACTCATATCTCAGGCAAGGGGATAACAATAAATATGTAAACATCTCCAAAAAAAAAAACAAAAGAAAAAAAACTAACAGTTTGACAAGAAAATAGATACGATAAACAGATTTATCCAGAAAAATAAATTAAAATGACCACCAACATAGGATAAGGTGAATATCTCACTCATTGAGAGAAATACAAATTTAAACCACACTAAGATACATGGCAAACTGAAAGAGCTCCCAACAGCCACTAGCTATCTTACTATCAGATGGGCAAAAATTTAAACTCAAGACAACATGCTGTTGATGAGGCTGTAGGCAAATAGGTATTCTCCTACACTTGTTAGAAATGCAAAACAGAGGGGAATTTGGCTATCTATGGCAAAATAACATATGTATTTATTCTTTAATACCAAAATCCTAGCTATAAAGATAGCACTGGCCAAAATATTGTTAGACTGATTCCCTAGGTATATATGATAACAATATTTGTAATAACAAAAGATTAAAAACAACTCAAATATACATCAATAAAGGGACTGAATGAATACACCATGCTAAACACCCAGAATATAATATTATGCAACATACAAATGAATGGGAATAAAATCTATGTACAATATCGCATGAACTCTGGGTTATGTTTTTAAATCCTGAAAACCAAGGAACAGACCAGTACATATAGTATGATGCCTTTAGTGTAAACAAGCAGGAGGAATATAAATTTACACATGTATCTTTATACACACACACACACACACACACACACACTCACACACACGGAAAAGTAAAGGACACCTTTTAATGTTTTAAACTTTGACATCATATGTTTCACATGATCAAAAAAAAGAAAACCTAACAAAGGTTCAATTATTTCAATTGGTCAGCCCACAACCTTCATTCTGAAAGATTAAAGATCAGTATGCTAGCAAAAAGCAAAATATCACCTATGTTAAAATTGTCAGCGTAAGAATATAACTCTATTTTCCCATGTTCCCAAACAGCATCTTTTTTTTTTTTTTTTTTTCCAACGTTTATTTATTTTTGGGACAGAGAGAGACAGAGCATGAACGGGGGAGGGGCAGAGAGAGAGGGAGACACAGAATCGGAAACAGGCTCCAGGCTCTGAGCCATCAGCCCAGAGCCCGACGCGGGGCTCGAACTCACGGACCGTGAGATCGTGACCTGGCTGAAGTAGGATGCTTAACCGACTGCGCCACCCAGGCGCCCCCAGCATCTTTTTTTTTTTACTAAGAAATTAGTGAAAAATTTTAAATCCCTTTACTGACCTCTTAGTTGATATTCAAATTTGATTTTTAAATAAACTATACTTCATGATTATTCTTAGGCATGTACTTACAGGTAAAAGAAATGAGGTATGAAGAGAGAATACTGAACTAGAATTCAGAAACTCAAGTTCTAGCCCAGGATCTGCCTCTTAAACATATGGATAATTTTAATCAAGTCATTAAACCTCTCAGACCCTTCATTTTTCCTCATTTGTAAGACTGAGAAATTAAAATGCAAGCAAATGGCCATGCTTTGTCATTCTCATTAATATGTCTTATGTTACTTTTTTTCCCCATAAGAAACTGTTTTTTTTCCAAAGTAATTGACCCTCAAATTTCATATATGAGGACCTGAAAAATAATTGTAACCTGGGAAACAGAGCATCTCCATCTTTGACTACAAAATAATACCCCATTTGTGTCCATGCAAGAAAGTATAGTATCGATTGATGCTTACCGCTGGTTCTTCACTGATGAGAAAGCTGGTCTCTCTGCTGCTCAGGGACTGCTAACAGTACCATGGGTAAGATATAATGCCATTAATAATAATGCAAGTGGGGAGCATATAACTTTCAACAACAAAAATCCTAGGTTCTCAACATACAAATACTAAACCTGCAATTCAGAGGACTTACAAAACATTTGAAAGTGAATGCAAAACTGTGGGTATATATGTGTATACATGTGCATGTGTGTTCATGCTCACGTGTGCTTGCATGTGTGTGTGTGTGCGTGTGTGTGTGTGTGTGTATGGAGAGAGACAGCCTGAGAGAGAATGAAACTTTTGGAGGTAGTTTTATCAAATCATAAAAAAAAAATCTTAGATGCAAGAAATGGTTAAGAACTACTACATACAGAGAAATAACAAGGTACACCACTGTTTTAAGGATACGGAGCCCTGAACAGGACCACAATGAAAGGTAGAATCAATTGGCTATTTTAGGCCTTTCAGCATTTGTTTGGAATTATTAAAGTGAATACTTTAGGAAACGCAACACCAGAATTTCTAAGGATCTGTACTTACAACCCAAGAGAAAAGCCATCATGCATGGATATAAAGACACACAAAACACCTGTAATTAAAGCAATAGCGATGCCTCCCTTGGCATATGGTGGATTTTAAATCCTCATGTTCCACGACAGATTGCACACCACAGCACGTGCTCCTGAGACCGCTCCCCATCACTTCTCAGCAGTCTCTAGTGATTGGTAGAGCAGGGTGGCCTGGAGAGGCAGTAGCCAGCAAAAATGACCTGAAACTCATGTCTAGACTGAGAATTCATTTACCTGGCTCTTGGAAAATCACAAACAGCATCTCATTTATACCCAGGTGATGTTGGGCAGACCAGTTCTGAAAACAGGAGATATAAAGTACTATCGACATAGTTTTGAAAAATAACTGGGTTTTGCTGTTTATTTTTTAAATTTCTTTTAATGTTCATTTATTTTTGAAGGACAGAGAGACAGAGCATGAATGGGGGGGGGGCGGGGAGGAGGGAAGGCGGGCAGAGAGAGAGGGAGACACAGAATCCAAAGCAGGACACAGGCTCTGAGCTGTCGGCACAGAGCCCAACGTGGGGCGCAAACTCACAAGCTGTGAGATCATGACCTGAGCTGAAGTTGGACGTCCAGCTGACTGAGCCACCCAGGCTCCCCTTGCTGTTTCTTTATAATGCCACAGATATAGGATGTGCAAATATTTTCTCCAGGTCTATAGCTTGTCTAGCTTGTCTGCTCCTCTTAACAGGATCTTTCATAGATCAAAAGTTCTTAAATTTTAAAAAGTCCAATTTATCTATTTTTCTTTTATGGATCATGCTTTTGTGTCATGTCTAATAACTCTTCACTAAGACCTACTTTCCAAAGGTTTTCTCCTATGTTTTTCTTCAAAAAGTTTTGGGCGCCTGGGTGGCTCAGTCAGTTAAGCTTCTGACTCAGGCTCAGGTCATGATCTTGCAGTTTGTGAGCTTGAGCCCCGCCATCAGGCTCTGTGCCGACAGTTCAGAGCCTGGGTCCTGCTTCAGATTCTGTGTCTCCCTCTCTCTCTGCCCTCCCTCACCTGCACTCTGTCTCTCTCTCTCTCTCTCTTAAAAATAAATTCTCCTAAAATTGAATCAATTCCCCTTTCACTTGTTGCTTTCCAACAAAAGTAAAGTTTATATAGAATCAGAACTAAAAATTAAAACATATGGTATTTCTAAAATACTGTAACTTAAAGTTAATTGAATACATTTCTCAGTGTGTCAAGCCAAACGTAAAGCCTTAAAAATTTAAGCAAAATTGTTTCAAATGAAGACCTATCCAAGGTTGAAGGCATGGAAGCAATATCATTGCTTTTTAAATGTGCAAAGGGAAGGACACCCAGGTGGCTCAGTTGGTTAAGCGTCCGGTTTCAGCTCAGGTCATAATCTCGCGGCTCATGAGTTTGAGCCCCACATCGGGCTCTGTGCTGACAGCTCAGAGCCTGGAGCCTGCTTTGGATTCTGTGTCTCCCTCTCTCTCTGACCCTCCCCTGCTCACTCGCTCTCTCTCAAAAATAAATAAACATTTAAAAAAATGTGCAAAGGGTTAGGGAATAGAACAAATATGACTTGATGAAATTGTTTTTCTCTTATAGAAGTTTAGGGTATATATAAATATGAAAGACACATAGAAAAGCAAAGAATATGAACCGTAGTTGAAGTTAACTTGAGCAATACATATAGAGATCTGTGAGGAGTATATTACTATTACGTCGATGTGAACAAAATGAAAATGACAACGTTTTATCATTTGAACTGAATCAGTCAATCTCATACAATAACTTTCTTCCGTCTACTCCAAAGACACACAAACTTTAACTTTTCACGTTGTTTTTTACACAGTTACCTTGATTCACTTATTCATTTAATGAATACATACTCTGTACCACATTACATCACTCTAGTTGTGGAGATTCTGCTTTATGACACTGGTTTTCAAACTTTAGGAGCAAAAAAAATCACCTGGGGTGTTATTTTTAAATCATGACTCCATAACCTTATTCCCCAACAATGCGATTAAGTGTGTCAGGTTGGGCCCAGGAGTCTGCATTTTTAAGAAACTTTTCATGTAATTGTCATTCAGGCAGTCTACAAATTGCATTGTAAAAATTACTGGACTAAATGATTTTCATTGCCCCCTTGGTTCTCAGAGTCTATTTCTCTCAGTATTTTGGTCACAGGTTTTAAAGGAATCCAAGAGCTTCTGGGAATCTTAAGCAACCAGCTTACCCAGCCAGTCTATCCAGCCAGCTAGGACGGGCCAACCTATTCTGGTGGGTTTTGTTTCCCAGGGTGGGAATTTCAGTCATTCCTAAAAAACTACTTTTAAAGAATTTTTTTCTATCCGGCTGGTCACCTGTAACCTGATTCAAGGAAATCTACCTCTGTGACTAGTGTTGTGCCACCTGGAGACCTACCAGAAAGATTATTTGATCCAAAATATCTTTAGAATGCTTACTCTCTGTATACAAGAAATCTAAAATTTTAGTAACTTTTACTAAATAAGGCCTTTAGTTAAGAGAATTTTTTTTATTTTTATAAGTTGTATTTAATTTTATTATTTATTATTTCATTTAATATATTTTGTTGAGTTGAGTCACTTGAAGTAATAAGTACTCATCACATACTAGTAATGGTAACATCAAAGACTATCACATATCCTCCCTGCATCATCCTCTAGCAAAGTTTTGAGCCCAGTACTATTCTCTTGCACAGCAAGACTCAGCATATCTGAGTTTGTTCACAGGGAGCCTCAAAACAAATTCATACTTCTATTTGCCCCCTTATCATACCTAGCAAGATAGAATATTAAATCTGCATGAAACTTGGAATTTGTTTTCTTTACCAAAAACATGAATACATCAGAAGACAAAATAAAGTTAATAGAGTATGAGTAAATAACTGAAGTACAAAGACGTAAGTATTCATACAAAGTACATTCCTAACCTTGTCTCAATTTTTTGTGCTGACTTATAGGAAACTAATACATATACATTTGACTTACCTCATTCATTCCGAAAATATATTCTGCTTCTCTATTGGACATTCTCTCTAAATTAAATAAGAAAGAAAAAAAAAAAACATGTCAGAATGGCCAATTGATCAGAACAGGTTAAAAGTCTGCATGAAGAGAAAATAGAAATTCTAAAATGAAACCAAAAATTTCAAGAAAAAATACGGGAAGGTCTTAGAGGCCCTTCCTGGAGCTAAGTTGTTCAAAATGGCTGCCAGTGGAAGTCGGCACCAAAAACTGTCTATGATGTAGGGGAAAAGCAAATACTGATGTGTAGGATATAATCTCCCCCACTAAGAAATAAAATTAACCCTGACAAATGCAGTTATTAATCCATAGCCATGAAACTGCAGAGAGGAAGACATCCAAGAGGGATATCCATGGTTACATCTTAGTTCTCACTGTGTGAGATTTAATATTCTGTCAGCATGTTTTCTTGGAACTGAACCAAACTGTCTGCAAGGAAAGCACTAACAAACAGGCACTACCAGTTCTAAATAGGCCAAATTACTTTCCTCACACACAAGCATCTCCGTGATAGCTATCTGTTGAGTCATTTGGACTAAAATACATCTTCAAATAAGTTTCTGACACTACAAAAAGTTAAACATAGAAGATTCTTATTCTCCATTGCCTCCGACATGGAAAAACACTGAGAAATATTTCTCCAGTCAAAAACTTCCCATATAAAAACATTTCTTTGGAGAAAATCACAGCGGGAGTGAAATAAAGAACCATCCACACTAATTGTAATTTTAGGAAATGTTAGAACATATGCTGAAAATATAGAAAATATAAACCTGCCATTCATATAGCTTTTTCTTTTCCTTTCTTTTTTCCTTTCTTTCTTTATTCCTTCCTTCCTTTCTTTTTTGCTGTTCTTTCCCCACTTTTTTTATTGTGGTAAAATACACATAACATAAACTTGACCATCCTAACCATTTTTAAGTGCACAGTTGAAAGGTATCAAATACAGTCATAATATTGAGCAAACATCACCACCATCTATCTCCAGAACTCTTACGTCTCATAAAGCTGAAGCACAATACTCATTAACTCCTCATTCTCCTCTCCTCCAGTCTGAGGCAACCACCATTCTACTTTGTGTCTCTATAATTTTTGACTCCTGTATGTACCTCATATAAGTGGAATCATACAGTGTTTGTCATTGTGTGAGTGGCTTACTTCACATAGCATAATGTCTTCAAGGTTCATCAGTATTGTACCATATGTCGTACTTTTTAAGGCTGCATAATATTCTATTGTACATGTATACCACGTTATATTTATCCATTCATATGTTAATGAACACTTGGGTTACTTTCACATTTTAGCTATTGTGAATTATGCTGCTATCAATATGGCTATAAAAATTTCTCTTCAAGACCCTCCTTTCAACTATTTGGGGTACATACCTAAAAGTGGAATTGCTGGACCATCTGGTAATTCTATTTTTAATTTTCTGAGGCACTGCCATATTGTGTTCCACAGCAGCTATACCATTATACACTCTCACCAACAGTGCACAAGGATTCCAATTACTCCACATCCTCACCAACTCTTGGTGTTTGGGGTTTTTGACGGTAGCCATTTTAATGGGTTTGAGGTGGTATCTCATTTTAGTTTTGACTTGCATTTACCCAATGACTGTGTTGTTGAACATCTTTTCAGCTTCTTATTGGTCATTTTTATATCTTCTTAGAGAAATGTCTATCCAAGTCCCTTGCCCATTTTTTAATCAGATTTTTTTTTATTGTTGAGTTTTGGGAGTTCTCTAAATATGCTGGATCACATATATGATTTGGAAACATTTTATCCCATTCTGTGGTTTGCCTTTTAACTCTGTTTATGTTGCTTTTGATGTACATTTTTAAATATTCATGAGGTCATTTTGTCTACTTTTATTGTTTTACATGTGTATTTGGTGTCATATCCAAGGAACCACTGCCAAATCTAACATCATGAACCTGTTGCTCTGTGTTTTCTTCTAAGAAGTTGATAGTTTCAGTCTTACATTTAGGTCTTTGATCCATTTTGAGTTAATTTTTGTATATGGTGGTAGGTAAGGGTCCGATTTCATTCTTTTGGCATGTGGGTATCCAAATTTCCCAGCACCATTTGTTGAAAAGACTGTCCTTTCCCCCATTGAATGGTCTTGGTGCCCTTGTAAAGAAGTCACTTGACCATATATGTGAAGGTTTATTTCTGGACTCTCCCTTCTAGTCCATTGGTTTATATGTCTGTCTCCATTCCAGTACTCCACGGTTTCAATTACTGCAGCTTTGTAATAAGTTTTGAAATCAGGAAGTGTAAGTCCTCAGCTTGGTTCTTCTGTTTTAAGATTGATCGTCTATTCAGCAGTCCCTCAAGAGTTCATATGAATTTTAGGATGGGTTTTTTCTATTTCTGCAAAAAACATCATTGGAATTTTGATAGAGGCTGCATTGAATCTATACATCACTTTGGGTAGTATGGAGATCTTAACAGTATTGTCTTCCAATCTATAAATATGGGGTATGTTTTCATTTAAATGTTGTGTTTTTATTTTTTTTCAGCCATGTTTTGTAGTTTTATTTGTACAAGTCTTTCACATCCTTGGCTAATTTTTAAATATCTTATTCTTTATTTTTAAGTTTTATCTTAATTCCAGTTAGTTAACCTATGGTGTTATATTAGTTTCAGGTGTACAATATAGTAATTCAACAGTTCTATACATCACCCAGCGCTCATCACAATAAGCGCACTCCTAGATTAAAGACCTAAATGTGAGACATGAAACCATAAAAATCCTAGAAGAGAACACAGGCAGTAACTTGCTTGACATTAGCCATAGCAACCTTTTTCTAGATATGTCTCTTATTCTATAAATAGAATTGTTTTCTCAATTTCCTTTCAGAGTGTTCATTGTTAGTGTGTAAAAATGCAACTGGTTTTTGTATTCTACTTTAATGAATGCATTTATAGATTCTAAAGGTTTTTTTTACTGGACTTTTTAGGTTTTCCTACATAAAAGATCATATCATCTGTTAATAAAGATATTTAATTCTTGTTTTCCAATGGGGATGCCTTTTATTTCTTTTTCTTGCCCAAGTAGTTTGGCTAGAACTCCCAGTATTATTTTTAATAGAAGGGGTAAAAGTGGATATCCTTGGTAAATAACAATAGCCGTAACTCATATAAATAAAAGTTATTTGAGGTTCTTAATAATTGTTTAAAGTATAGAGAAGTCCTGAGATAAAAAAAAAAAAAAAGTTTGAGAAGTACCACCTTACACATAAACAATAGAAATACATGCATTCTGGGGATGTACAAGAGTGTTCATAAAAGTATTGCTGGGAATAACCAGGAAACCGAAATCATCTCAAATACCCACAAACAGTAAAATGGATACATATAATGTAGTATAATAATACCACATATTAAACTTAGCAACAAAGTTAAATGAATTTCAATTACATGCAAAAATATGGATAAATCTCCAAAGAATATTATTTACCAAAAACAAAACAAAAACAAGAAGAAACTTTAATACTTCACTTACATAAAGTTAATTATGCAAAACCAAAATATGTTACTTAGGAATCGATACTTAAAGGTAGTTACTGTTTGGAGATAATTCTCCTTTGGTCTCTCACGTTTCTGTACATCTTGCAAGTGAGACACTGACTGCAAATCTTTTCAAGGATCTTGGTTGTGTGAACACCCTTGGAAGATCTCGAGTCTCCTTCTGTAGCAAAAGGCAGGTTTGCACACAGTCTAGGAATATCAGAGTAATGTCTTCCTCCAGAGCAAATGGAAGGCATAATTGCTGACCAATATAAAAGACTCAAGTTCCTTAAGTTCAGATTGCTCTCCTGTATTGCAACCCACCACACACACAGGTATTATCTGGCCCTCTTTGCATTGAGTTGTGGCAACTTGGGTTCAAGAAACGGGCACAAATACTCCCACTCTGGCTGGCTACTCTTAATGCTGTGAGTAATACACTGTCCTTTGTCTTTGATCTATGTATCTTATGTCTTCTACCAGTATCCATGAAACTGTAAAAGGATATTCTGTTAACTACCAAGCACAGTAAAATCTCGGACCGTTTGCAGTTCTTGATATTGATCATTAATATAACAATGATAATAATGTGATAATGGTTAACATTTATTGATTCTCTATTGTTAAGAAGTTTGCAGTACTGTAGTGGAAGCAGACCAAAGCTTGAGATAAATGCTATAAACAGAGCTGGGGGTGGGGAAGTTTAGATATGAAGAAATCAGAAAATCTCTCTGAGGCAAGTAATACATACACTGAGATCTGAAAGTTGAGGGCACTCAATCCATGTGAGAATACACAAAGGCTGTAAGACAGGAACAGTTTTGAGGGGTTCAAAGAAATGAAAGCCAAGCTAGAGATGAGAAGGTAAATGGCAGAGTGACATGACATGATGTTGGAGAGGGATGGAGCTGGGGATAGTTTGTGGAAGACTTTGTATACCTGTTTTTGTTTTTGTTTTTTCTTTCCTAAATGAAACAGCAAGCCACAAAAAAGCTTTTAAGTCAGTTTTACATTTACATTTTCTGAAAAGCACTGGTCCCTCAGTGAAGAATGAGCTAAAAGGGAAGTGGTGGGGGGCAGGGAGGGGGGTGCCTGCTGGTTGGCTCAGCAGGTTAAGTGTCCAACTCTTGATTTCAGCAACAAAGGATCTCACAGTTCATGGGTTCAAGCCCAGTGTCAGGCTCTGAGCTCACTGAACACAGCCTGCTTCAGATCCTCTGTTTCCCTCTTTCTCGCCCTTCCTGGCGCTCTCTGTCTCTCTCTCTGTCTCTCTCTCTCTCTCTTACTCTCTCAAAAATAAATAAGCATTAGAAAAAAAATAGGAACCAAAGAAGAAAGAAAGGAAGAGGGAATGGAGCAAAGAGACATTGGGAGGCTGTGGCAGTGAACCACAAGGGAGATCTGGCTGTCTGGACTGCAGTGGGGGCAGTGCGTGTGAAGGAATGTCCATGGATTACTGATATCTGCGTAAACATTTGAAATAAACTGCTGT